GAGGCGCCGCCAGCCGTGGTTCCCCACTGGCTACGGTTATCGCAACGAATCCTCACATCAGGAGTTACTGCAGGAGCAGCAGAGAAATGACAGAGCAAAAGGCACTTTAACCATTCAACATGCATCAGATTGTTTCTGTTGAGACCCTTGCAGCATTATGCGTGCACTCGGGCACGATACACACACAGTTTGGTTTTATGGGGTTTTTTCTGTTGCATTTATGCATTCTTGGTGCGTTCAGAAACCAGAAATTTAGGCAGGGTTTAGTTCATTTCTGCAAGGTAACCTAAAGTGCTGCCAGTACCCGAACATGGGAGATGCCAATTTTTAGGGCAACATGGCTGTAACACATCACATCAAGTCACTCCCCGGTGGAGGCTCAGGATCAGCTCTAAGGGAACCGTCCAACCCGTACCGCGGCTGGATAAAACTCACCAGCAGTTATATACTGACTCCTCTTCCCCCTCCGCCCTCGTTAATTAGCCCTGTGTGCAGAAAATCGGGGAAAACTCCTGGCGCGCAACGGGGGGTAGCACTGGGAGAAGGCTGGAGGGACTGAGAGCTGGAGGGGCACCCGACCGCGGGGTCAAGCCGAGGGACAGCAGATAAGTTCAGGACTGGAATATCGGTGAAAGCTGTTTGGACAGGACTGAGGGAAACCAGAAAAGATGCATCTTGTCAGGGGTAAGATGCACGGCCAGAGTTGTGGAAATGTCTGGGTCTAGGGTGCGATAATCACTGTGCCACGGCATAATGCAAAATGATGGAGCCAGGAGGAGACCTGTCAGCCGTCTGCCTTTGACATGCTTTTCTCAGGCAGCATTCTCATCTCATAGTCCGTGAGCACGTACAAATTACATAATGTACAAGGGTGATATCAGTTCCTATTAATTGCGCCATTCCTTGGGCCCACACACGTGCCACGGGGTATCTACCTCAAAACCGCAGCTGTCCTGCAATTCCCTTGCCTGCAGGAGGAGGAAATGTGCTTCGACCCAAGTTTTGCAATAACTGCATTTTCACATACTGGATTCTAAAAAATAAAATACAACCCTAAATTTTATTTGCATTTGCAACACCCCTTTGTACTTTTGCACTGGTGTAAATGATTGTAGAAAAGCCATAGGAGGAACCTTTAAAAGGAAAAGCATGAAAGGTTATTTTTTCCCCTTTTGCTCATATTGCAGTGACTTCTTGGAAGAGAAATATTACCCCAGCAGCCAGCGCCACTCTCCCCAAGCAATATGGGAACTGTGAAGTTATGAAATTGAGGGCACCTTCACTGAGAAATCGATTAGCAAACCGAGAGAGCTTGTGAATTGGATGTCTGGCCATTTTCAGTAATAAATTGTGAAATAGTCCGTGAATAAGTGGTTCACAGAGTTCAGAATTACCCCCTAGGAAATGTTTGAGACCTGGAGATACATTACTGAAGCGAGTGGCGTCCTAATGTTCAGTGCTTCGGCTGTTAAATATGTATGTAATCCCTACAGCGCTTCCCAAAATTAATAGTGCTTTATGGCTGCTCTAGAGCCGGTATATTTATATCAAGATCCACAGATTCAGCTGATTCACAAACAAAGCACTAATTCCAGAGAAGAAAGGAGGAGGCGGCTGTGCAGCGCAGGATTTAACCGAGCTGCGCGTGCCAAGCTAAACTCTATAGGCGTGATGTTATCAGATTTGCTTTATAATTCTGCAAATTGAGCTTCACGTGCACTCTCATCCCCTCCCCGCTTTCAGGCTGAGCAGGCACCTCCTGCCCGCTCCTCCTGGGGTGGCGAGGTCTCCCGTGGCAGAGGCGGGGGGGTAGGTCGCACTGGGAGACGAGAGCCGCCAGCCTCCAGGCTGGCACAGCCCAGCTCTGGGTCCTGAACCCCCTTGTCGTACCCCCCCAAGGCAGGGTGCCCACGCTCCACCGAACCGGGCATCTCGGTAATACTCTAACCGGGACTCCAGACCTTCCTGCCCGCAACTTCAGCAAGACGGCTCGCTCACAGAGCAAAACGTGAGCCCTCCCCGGCCACCCCACGGGCAAGGACAGTAGCCTTGCAGATACCTTCAACTCAAGCCGTCCATTAGCTGCTGTTGATACCCATCCTCCCCGTGCCTTCTAGCTTTTGCCTGCTGCCCACCATCTTTTGCCATTTCCATCTGTCCCCTACATGTTTTCTCCCTTGGGCTCCCCGGCGTCCCTCGTCCCCGGTGACCGCCCAAGCCTGATGTTCACCGGCGGGCTGTGCGGTTTTCCCCCTCGCCCTGTATTTAACCCACCAGCCTCTTGCTCGCTGCAGGTACTGCAGTGCAGGTCTGCTGCATTTCTGCTGTGCGGGATTTGGGGGTGAATTTGTCCTCCCCCCTTTTATTGTTTCTCAACACACTTCATTTTCAGAGCATGAAATGGTTCTTTTTCTCCCTGAAATCCTACCAAATGGAAAACAGTTGGCTGCTCAGAAGAGACAAAATTAAATTTTGTGGGGTAAACAAGGTTGCTAATTAGCTGATGTGCTGTGCAAAGTTAATTTATTCCCAACATGTCACGGTGCCAACCCTGCCTGAAGAGCCTGCGCCTCGTGGCTCAGGTTGACCCGCAGGGGTGGCCCTGCCTCCGGCAGGAGCTGGGACCGCAGCTGACCCTTTACGGGGACTTTTTGCCTTCTCATTGTGCAGGAAGAGCCCTTTGTCATGTTCCGTAAGTCCGACACGGCCCTGTTCGGGAATGACCGCTTTGAGGGTTACTGCATCGATCTCCTGAAGGAGCTGGCCATCATCCTGGGCTTCACCTACGAGATCCGGCTGGTGGAGGACGGGAAATACGGGGCACAGGATGAGAAGGGGCAGTGGAACGGCATGATCAAGGAGCTCATCGACCACGTGAGTGAGGCCCATCTGGGCACGGGCAGCCGGTGGGTGCCGAGGGGCGGCTGTGCCCGGGCTGTCCCGAGGCTTTCTGCCTGGGGTGGGACGGTGCCCACTGCTCGCTGGCTCGGGATACCCACAGCGAGCTCCTAACCCCGCCTGGGCTCTGCCTGCGTGCACGGCTTGTCAGAAGAGTCTCTGTCTGTCTGACATGTCCAAAGGTTCCTCTGGAGTTTCTGAGAACGGGCGTTCTCACCGTACAGAAAAGGCTCCGTGGCTTCAGCCGGCTGGGCAGGCAGAGAGGAGGGAAGAGGCTCCTCCGAGACCCGCTCCCCTGCGCCGGGCTGCTGCTGCTCTGCCCCCGACAAAAGTGGGCCAGGGCACCACGCCGAGGGGGCCCAGGGACCCCAGACGTGTCCCAGACACAGCTCAGCTGAATCCAGATGACGCATCCAGACTGCAAGAGCAGGTGTGCAGGGGACAGTTTACTATGTTATTTTTTTTATTAACACAGCTTATTTTCTAAAATCTCCTGGGACACGGAGCTCCCCCTGCAGCAGAGCGGCTGTGCTTCTCCTTCCGCAGCCACTTCTAAAAACCCATTAAACACCACTGAAACTGTCGTGGCAGCTTCACTCTCACAGCCACCGTAAAGTCACCCCATCCGAAACCTCGACTTGTGGCCAGAGGTCGCTCGGTTTCCTAATTAGGTGTTTTGCCTCCAGCACATCCTGTGATCCCCAAAGCCCAGTTAGGGAGGTGAGGAAAGCTGGTGGGTTTATGAATCTCTGATTCCCAGAAAGGTCTCTGGAAGAAAAGATAGGACAAAATCAATCCATGATCTCCGCAGCGCAGGCAGCAGTATAAGCAGTCCTAGAGCTGTAACACAGCTCTCTCCTCCTGAGTATCTCGCTCAAGTGGTGCAGCCCTTGGACCACCTCTTAAGTTCCTGGCTACATTTTGCAAACATTGCCTAAGCAGAAAAGAGACAAAAATAACCCCACGTACGTAGCAGCTGTGATGCTTTTACAGTTCATGTGAGAAGAATGTATTTTCTGGGTGAGTCACTTCAGTAAATGAGCTTTGCTGTGAACAGATAACAGAGCATTGTCTGGTGGTGAGACTGCGGAGCTGGGGCTCGGGGATCGAGGTTGTGTTTCCGGATTTGGCTTGTCTGCCCTAAATGACATTAGACAAGTTGCTTCTGTGCAATACTTCCTCCATCTGTAAAATGCAGATGATGATGATTGTGTCCCTTACAGGGACAAAGTGATGCTTAATCAGTTTGCGAAGAGCACTGTAGTCCTTAGACGGCTTACCCTGGAGAAGCGGGAAGTATGGCAAGGGCATGCAAGGACAGCCCTGGGGGAGCAGGACGCTGTGTCTCACAGGGGAATAAGCCACAGGCTGTGCAAACCTGCCTTTGTATTTTCGCTTCCAGAAAACTCCGTACGGCTCAAAATACAGATCTCATAGTCTCTTACGCAACAGCCTTGCTAAGTTAGACAAGTGACACTCAGCATCCCAGCAGAAGAGACCGGTGCTCTGAGTGACGCGTGTGACATAGATACGAACAGACACAGAGCACAGGCTGCCATCCTCAGCAGCGTGCTCCGGGACACGGCTCCTGCGGTCCGCACCCGCTGCTGGGAGCACAGTCTGTGGCTCACACCACAGAGCATCTGTAGTGCAGGGCTCTGAAGATGTACATCGCTCCAAAGCAGGGAATAAGATACAGGGAATAGAAGCCTGACCGTCACTTAGCCCAAACCATGGCACTTCCAGTGTCCTGCAAGATGTTACTGGGCTCTCGGGAGGCTTTCAGCCATTCCCAAAGCTGTGGTCAGCTAAAAGAGACAGACCGAGAAGAAGGTATGGGGAACAATCTCATTAAGTAACAGGAAATTCATGGTCAACCTGCATTAAAGTATTTCTTGACTAACTATTTAAAAGCAAATTAACATACAGCAACAGGAAAGGACCAAATCCTCTCTTTTTTCTAGTTCTACTAGAAAGCTTGTAGCATCAAGTTTGAACTCTGCTTTCTTTTCTTTTCTTTTTTGTGGTTGGGTGCACGCCTTGGAGTGATTTATAACTATTGCCCAAACCCCATATGAAGCCATTATTTTCTTTATCTGCATGTCATTGCTTTTTATAGCAGTGTTTATGTAAAGCATTAAAAAGTGAAACTGCGACCAGATGGGGCCCTTCCTCAGCAGCAAAGCGTCTTCAAATCCTGTGGGGAAAGGAACAACTGATTGGCACTTTGCAATGGGAAAGTTCAAACTTATTTCACACCTAGTAGGAAAAGTGTTGGAGACAGCATTCAAACAAAGTTGTAGTGATGAAAACAGGGCTGCCCACACTGTGAGTTTGATATCTGGGCTGGCATTCCTCCATATTCGGTGTCTCCTTCTCGTAAAAGAATTGGGATCATTCAGGTGGGAGCATAAAGCAGGTAGGATTTTGTGACGTCCAAACACCCAGACCAGGATTAACTCTACGCAGAAAGTCTGTGCATTGCCGAAGACCCATTTAACTCACGTGGATCTGAGACTGAGCCTCCAGGACTGCTGTGATGCACCAGCTCGGTGGGCTGAGCCGAAGCGCAGGCTGGGTGGAATGTCCTGTGCACAGGAGAGGGTGCTCCTGAGGTGAAACAAGAGGCTGAAACGCTGATTGCTATCCCTCGGAAGGGCTGAGCGCTGTGGGAGCAGCAGGTGCTGCGTACCAGGAATAGCCTGATCTGAGGCCGAAATTCGGTGAGAAGGAGATGGGCAGCCCATCACTCCGGGTGGGAAATGCAGCCAGAGAGGAGCTGGGCGGAGGTGCCAGGCAGGGCAGCCCAGGTAGGTACGGAATTACCGTGTTTCAGGGACGATAGTGCCAACCACGCAAAGGTGTAAATCACAGCACACGTGGCAGGATGGGCTGTTTACGCAGTGAGCTCTCAGGGCTTGTTTTGGAGTCACAAATCATCCTCCTTCCCCTGTCCTCTCTGATCCAAACATGCCTGGCCGTGGGCAGTAACGCCTTAGGCTACGATCCTTTGTAAAATTGCTTTGTTTCTAGTTTGGCCTTAAGCATAAACAGGAAAAGCAACAGCAGTCAGAGCAGCTCACAGCATGACCCTGTCTTCCAGTAGCAGATCTGGAGAAGACAGCCTCGTGCGGTTAGATGCAAAAAGCCCTGCCCCGGTGCCTTTCATCTGCTGCTCGTCCTTCACCACAAAAAAATCTCTGTTTGGGGGAGTTCAGCCCATTCCCTGGAGAACTAGACTCCTCACCGCAGCTCGCTGCGTATTGTCCCTCTCCCTGGACACTCCGCAGAGGAGGCTCAATCAGACGGGCCACGGATGCTGAACTCCCCACACTGTCATCTGGGGAGGTTTGGGGCACCCAGGTGACGCCGAGCAGCTCCTGCGCCCTGCATCTGTAACAAACAGGGAACCAGCAACTGTCGAATCTCCTCCTTTCATCAGTAGTGAACTGTTATTGATGTTTATTCACAGAAATTATTATTGATACAAGCCAAACTACACTATGCATTGTGGCCCATCCATTCTGGTTTATAAATTCTAGTTCTCTGGCAAAATAATGCTTGCAAATCTTCCCTATTGTTTGTGGGCCGAATCACATAAAACCGGCAGAATGAGTTGTTCTGGACATTTTGCACAAACCTGTTCACAAATAAACCTTGTCTTCTGCTGAGACAGCGCATATCAAATTTCCATTCAATCTGAAACTTCATGTGGGAATAAAAAAGGTATGAAAAATAATAGGGTTTCTAATGGAAATCCCTGCCAATGGTAACTATAGAGAAGATGTAATATCTATCCTTTGGGACGATTTGTGACAGTTGATTTAACACTTTCACAATAAATGGGCATTTATTGTCAGTAAATTCTGGCAGAAATACATATTGCACCACACCGCCACATTGCCATTAATGTTCCTGCACTGGTGGATGTTTATTTCAAGTGCCATGAGCTGGGGATCCATTTGGAAGCCACGGGGCCAGGAATAGGAAAAAAACAATTTCGTTGGATGAAGTGTCCTCCATCTCTTGTTTACACACTGCAGAACTCAGCGTTAGGAGGGAGATGGAAACAAGCCAGAACAGCTGGCTGCACTTTCTCCTTTTCTGCTCAGCATCATTAGTTGGGTGGATTCATATTTATCCTGTTGCGATCCAGGCGATGGAAGCATACTGACGTGTACGTTGGGAGCCACGAGAGCTCTGCTTGCTTCTGCAGGTCTCTCTGGACCTGCCTGTCCCTCCCCTGGCTTGGTCACCTAGGTGACCTATTCCTAGGATAGAGCTTGTCTGTAAAAACAGGGCTGTTCTTGTTGGGATCCTACAGCCTTTGACATCTCTTGGTACAATTAATGGTAGTTCTGTCTCTGACGAGCTTCCCTAAAGAAAAGATTACAAGAGGCCCAACAGGGCTTCATGGTCCTCATTTCTCCTCTTCAGCTTGCAGCTAGGTTTTCCCTGCCAACATCTGTTCTTAATTCACCACCGATATTAAATAAATTCATTGACAAAAATTATGTCTAAATTAGGACTGAAATTGTAAGAGCCGCCATTAGGAGCTGGAGTCAGACAATTAACGCTGACCTCCTGCGCGTGGTGCACGCGGTGGCAGGCTGAGGCGCGGCTGGGATGCTGCCGGGCACGACCTCGCTCTCCTCGAGCATCACTTCTCACGCTGAGCGTTTTCCTACCCCCGGCCAGCAAGAGGGGAGGGCTGCGGGCACAGGGCAGAGCGCTCCGACGCCTGCTACAGCAGCAGCCCCTCCGTCTCCAAGCCACGGGCTACAAGACAGACGGGCTGCCTGGGCTGTGCCTGGCCCTGTCCCCCAGTGCTCGGGGATGCCTGTGCCCACGGACGCCTGGGGGCTGGCTCTGCTGCGGGGAAAGAAACAGAAAGATGCAGGAGCGAGGGCAGCAGGCAGCAGGCCCGGGGGGACACAGGGTGCTGGAGCACGGCACGGGGTGCTGGAGCACGGCACAGCACCCGAGCAAGCGGAGCAGGGAGGGGAGCAGAGATAGGACCTGAAGCAGAGCAGCAGAGCAGAACAGCGCTGCAGCCCAGCGCTGGCAGTGGTGGTGGCAAAAGAGACGGAGGGATGAAAGTGTCGATGCTGCCAGACAGGCACCTGAATAACAATTAAATAAGTAAAATATGCACTATTTACCTGTCTCTCAGGCAACACACACATAATTAGTTTATGTAAATACCTAACTCAGATTGGCAAAATAAGCACAGAGGCAGCTTATTTTCTTGAATAAATATTTATCTTGGTGCTTATGGTGTTTGTGGGCTCTGCTGTGACCAGCCATCACACGCGGCTTTCCCCCGGCGGAGGTCGGGTGCTGCAGGATTTCCACAGTGACCGTGGCTGTGCAAGAGCTGTTCTGACCCGCAGGCCACATTCCTGTCATAACCGAGAACTCGAAGATAAGACTTAGCATTTTCTGATAAAAGCCAAATATCTCTGCAGAGAATACAATCCTCC